GTTTGTCCTTTTCTGTGTCCTAAGTTTGTGGTATGTTCTGTTTGTTTGCTTAAAGCTTGGGATGTTTTTTTTTCAGGTTTTGTGTTTTTTGTGTGTGTGTTTTTTGTGCCTGTGTTTTTGTGTTCGGTGTTTGTGGGGGTTTTTTTTGGTGTGTGTGTCCCCCGCCCTGCTTCGGGCTATCCCCTGCCCCAACCTGACAGCCTTTTCAATTTTGACTGGATTAATTCAAATGAGCAAAATACTCTCTTTTTCACTTGCTAGCTGAAGGAAAAACTGAAAATCAGGTGGGCTAAGGCTCTTGTGCACAAAAACATTTCATCATTGGGAATACTCCCAGTAATTTGAGTAGACAAATGGCATGAAAATCATCAGTTAGTGTCAGTTGGTATGATCATAACGTTACATTAAGAAGAACCAGTTTCCTTTTATCTTGATAAAACTTAAGAGCAAAGAGCGGAGTGCTGGCTGCTGTTTTTAAAAAACCCTAAATTAAATAGTGCGTAGTACAGCGGTTGCCAAATGGGGCTGTGTGTTCTCCAGTGAGCTGGTACACAGAAGTTTCCCAGGAAAGCCTTCCTGCTCACGCTCACACCTGGCCGCTGGCTCTGGACGATGGCAGTACGTGAGGAAAGTTTCTGTGATTCCAAGTTGGAATATGTGTCATAAGTTTAGGCCGTCATTTTGAAATTCTTAGTATCTCTTTAACTATGAACATTTCAAACTTAGCTAAGAAATGTATTATTTATTTGGATTTAAAAGTGTGTTTACTATATGCACCTAGAGGGACATTGCAGATTTTGTCTAATTATAAGTAACATAATACATTCTTTTTATTTATCAAATATAGAGTAAGAAATTAAAAACTAATTTTTGAGGCACCTTAATGTTTTTGTGGAATTCTGTTTGTAAATAAACCTCCTTTTATTGCAGAAAACGAGCACTGGTCTCTTTGCACGGGAGGTGTTCACATGTTCTGTTGGGACCCTGTGCACAGGGATGTGGGGGGCTCACAGGATAACAGCACTGCAGGCTGGAAAAGCCCAAGTCTAAACTTGAGGTGTGTTTCCTGAGAAGTAGGGATGAGTGGTTTTGTTGCCCTATACCACTTTTTTTCCTATCTAAAAATGTTATATTTAGTTTTTACTTTTCAGATGTTACGGAAAAAAAAATCACTCATGATGTCTGCTAATCCCACAAAATAATATATTAAAAATAGAGCAGAACAGCAGCACTGTTAGATTCGGTTTTGGCTTCACAGATGATATGAATTATTTGCTAGATAAACCAAGCAAAAACAAAATAAAAGAATTGCTCAAATAGTTGAAACTTGTGGCAGAAATTCTACACGCAGTATTAATGTTTTCATTCCTATGACATGGTCTCAGTTTGTAGCCTTTTTTTGTTGTTTATTTTATTTTTACTTCTTGTTATTTCATTCTTTTGCTTTAAGGAGAGACGGTGGAGCCCTGAGGACTTTAATTTAAAATGATACCCATATATTTGTAGTTCAGCCAGTAACGTGAAAGCTGAACTAAATTTAGGCCTAAACTTTCATATATATTGCTCAAATATTAAGTTAGCCATGTATTCTGTGTTTTCTTTAGTGGCATTTCATCTGTGGGTGTGAATACTTCTGTAGTTGCCAAGATAAGTGAATGCTATTATGATGGCAAAATGAAACTCGTGGTGCTGTTTTCCCAGCAGGCTCTATGAAGTACTTGCCTTATTTGGAAAAAAAAAAAAAAAAAACCCACCGAAAAACACCACAAAAAACCCTCAAACCCATTTTTTTTAATAACAGATGAGAGCAATGAAATACACAATACAGAATGAAACTCAGTGTTTTACCCTCATTTAAGATGCTTGGGCTCAAGATGTTACGTAGGACATAGTGTGTTTTTTTCCAGCCTCTTGTAAAATTGTGGTATAATATGTGGTCGGAGAAAAATGTATTTTTAATTTTCTGTAGTTAAGTTTTGTAGAATGTTATTGTAACTTAGAGGATCTTTGTAAATGTTTGTAGTAACAGGGAGGGGAGTAGATTGAGAAAGATGCAACCAGAATATGTATAATAGAGCATAAACTAGTTGCCTTTTTTTTTTTAAAGTATTGTTTTTCACTTGATGGGACCTGTGCTTCCCTCTCCCAGCTTCACAACCTACACGCTTCACATGTTCAAAAAGTTCAGGATAATATGAACAGAAGTAGGAATAGTTGACTGAATACATCAGCTCCTGTTTTCTGAGATGTTTGATCATGACTAAAAAAAATAATTAAAAAAACCCACAGTATTGCTTAATATTTCTAAAAGACTTTAGAGATAATTCTGAAATTTATATATCTTGTCCTAGTTTTTATACGTGTCTGCATTGAAATGATGTACATCCTGAGTCAAGGAAGAGCAAGTGGGAAAGCTGCTGATTGATATAAAAAGTGGAGATATAATGTTTAATTATTAACAGTTTCTGAGCCTATCCTTCAGTTTTACAGTGTTGGAAATAACAGGAAGTAAAACTAACTGGAAGTCAGGTAACTCTTTAGAAGTTTCTAGCTTTCTCTAAACTTGGTATATGCCAGCTGCGTTGTATCACAGCCTGTGAAGGTAACATCAAAGCCTGGACTACAAGGCAGAAGACTTCAATGCTCTGAGAAGAAAGTGGTGCATATAGTCATACACTGAAGTGTGTGTGTATAAGGATGTGTGCATGTGAGAGGGTGAAAATCAGGCTTTCACTACTTCTTCTAGGTGATGATGAGCCATATAAAACTTTGTTTAAAAGTATAAGCTCGTGTTGTAAATCCAGTTTTGCTCTAGCAGTGAGACAACCAGACTGTTTCAACTTCATTGTTACGTTGCCAAGCTACTTAAAATAGAAGTTTTTCTTTTTTTTTTTTTTTTTTCATGTTTTCGGAATGAAATTAATATTCAGGTAGCTTATTTGTCTGCAGCACAGACAAAAAGGTAAAAATGGTTGTGCTTTTATGTCGGCTAACTAAGCCGAAGTTATCTTTGCTAAGAAAGCTGGACCTCAAGATTGTTCGTTTGGTGCTGAATCATAAAGAAGTGGTTGCTTCTAATTACTCTTTTTATTAGGTGATGTTTGTTTTGAAGGTTTATTTGTTTGTTTTAGCAAGGCAGCCTGAAGCATTGTGGCAGATCTGTCAGAGATTGTTTTTTTCCCAGCTGCCATTAGCCCCATGGTTGACTAACATGAGTCTTTCTGGTTCGTTGTGGATAGACTGACTTTGGTAGAACTTGAGAAAACAGACTGTGTGCCTCTTCGTACTTTAAAAATGGTATGCTATATTGGGATTGATTAAAATCTACTTGCGTGCGAATATTATATTGACGGTCACTTAATATACCAAAATAATGAGAAAAATGGCTGGGCAGTGTCTTCGTAAATAGTAGGAGAGCCATGAATTGTGACTGCTTCACTGTTGAAATCTGACAGCATCTTTTAGGAACCAAGAATTCACAAGGACAGATTTGAACATGACTGATTAAAAAAAAAAAAAAAAAAGTGAAGCCTGTTGCCTTCATTTTCTTTTGTCATCTCACCTGGAGTCCTGATCTCAGACCAGGATCCACTTGTGTGAGACACAACAGATTTACAACCTGTGTGTAATACAAGACAGTAGATAGAGACAGATGACAAAGAACAGGAAAGAATATTGGTCAGTATTACTTATCAATAGGCAAAGATTTAAACACTTGTAAGCCTGAAATATTTTTTCCTCTAGGCCTGAACACAAGAAAATTTTGATGAGGACGAAGCAATCTTGTATAGAGCTTGTGGCCAGCTGCCGTAACACATGGGTGTGGTTTGGGGAGGGTTGGGAGCAGGAAAACATTATTTATTCAAACTGTTGGAAGGTCTCTGGATTCCTGGTGTCATAGGCTGATAATGACTGGTACTGAAATGAGAGGAGCTGGTTGTCAGGACTTTGAAAGTGAAGATGAGGTTGGTTTATTCTGATGTGGAATAGGGCCAAGAGCCAACGGGGGGGGAACAAAGAGAGAGAACGTGCTTTTTTCGAGTCTGTCAGATGAATTCTCATATCGATCTTGAATTATGAAACAGAAGGTTTCAATATGTATACTTTAAAGCCAGAGAAAGCCTTTTTATTGTCTGGTTTTTGTGGTATGTGTTGCATTTCTGTGTGTGCATGTATGCCACAAGCTAGTTTTGCCCAGTTATAGTTGCTCGAGTCTAATTAGAACAGGTAATAGGTGAGATCAAGGGACTGGGATGACCCTTTGGCTGTATCTGGACATTAAATCAGCTCCATTGTGTCATGAAGCTGCAATTTACGTTTTTAGTACCACAGAAAACCAAAAAGGATAGTACTGTGGTCTGTAGCTATTTTGAGAGCTGAGAACATGAAAAACATCTAGATAATCTGGATTCTAAAAGGTGGCAAAAATGTGGGTGGTTCTAGGGAATCTGATTTGGGGAAAGTTGCTTTCTGTATCCAGATCTGATGATGACTTGGACGTCGAACTGGCAGTTAGGACACATAACCAACTTTAGAGAAAAGATGATCTGTACCACTGGAAACCGGTTGACTTTCTGTGTTGTTCCTTACTTAGGGCTTTGTTTTGTTCATGCCATTTAAAGATAATATGTTCAAACCAGTGCCTGAGATCCTTCTAAAAATGTTATAGCCTTTAAATGTTTTAGTATGGTAGGTACCATAAAACTTCTGTCTAACCTACTTAGCCCTTTGTTATTCTTTGGAAGAAGAATGTATGTCTGAAAATTACTTCAGAATTGTTAAGGCTAAGATGTCCCATGCTAACTTTCTCTTTGTTTGATTTGGATTTTTTTTGCGTGTTTTCCCGTGAGCCATGCTAACATGGCCTTTATGCTTTCTTGTTCAGAACAAGAAACTGATGATTTGACGAGGAGAATTCCTCAAACACGATGCTTAGACCTGTGACTGAGTTTAAAACTGTTGAAAACTTTACGGTCTAATAATATTTTCCTTATTTTCAGATTAACTGCTGAAGTACTGATCGAGTTCTGCTATTCTTCAATGAGGAACTATAGGCTGATCTTTTGCCATAATCTTAAACAACCATAAATGACAAAAGAATGTTTGGTCAGTGAGGGCAGCTGGCGCAGAAAACGTTTTTCAAACTCGGCTGTTTAAGTACTCTGAGGTAGGTTTCTTAAACTACTTTATTCAGGCTATGCAAAAAAGAATCTATTATTATCTATCAATCCACTAGTAAAGAGAGAATTAATTTTGGTTGTAGTGCTTTGACTAACAGTATGTACTTTTTATTCTATGTGCCGTCCTTTATGATGGTGATTACTTGCATTGAAGCAAGTATGTTGTGTGGTTTTTTTTTTAATTTATTTTGAAAAGACAGTTTTTTCTTTGCTAGAAGAGGTATTTTGGTTTTGACAGGATAACAGTTTAACTGAGTGACTTACACTGCCTTTGATAATACCTTTGCGCTCTATCTAGATCCTGTATCAAGCAAAGACTTGCAAGTAGAGCTTGAGCTTCTGCATGATAGGAAGAATGGTTTCACTGAGCACCTAGAAACTAGTTTTGGGGGTTTTATGTTCAGTAAAATTTTGAATTTGATGCAGGTGTTGAAAGCTTTATTGTATAGACCAGAAAATGCCAAGTATATATGAAGTTGATTGCAGTGCAGTTGTGTGTCACAAAACACTTAAAATCATTTCAGGTAACTCAGACTTGGGGTTTGGTTTGGCATGATCCACTAGGTTCATTTCCTCTGGATAGGCTTTTGTGTTGGATTTCCAAAGCCTGACTCATAAATACTGTCAGAAAATTTACTGAAGAATCTAGCCTCCCAAAGTACCTTAGAACTTGAGTAACGATGTTGTAACTAGAATTTTATGAATTTGCTTTGCTGCTATATATGTTCTTACTGGTCCTCTATTGAGGATTGAACAGAACACCTCAGTAAGAGTCATTTATCTGGTTAGCTGTATCTGGTGGTGTTAAAGAACTTTTAATTAATTAGTGAATGGATTGAGAGAGACTGGAGAGTATTTGCATTAGGTAATTAAATCACATTGTGTTATGGATCCTTACATTCAACAGTATACACTAAAGTGTGATTTTTGGTTTTCATTCCTCTTATTTGACAGAAAAGACAGCTTTGATTTTTGGCTGCAAAAAGATATGAGGAAGAGTTCCTCCCCTTCCTTGAGTAACTGCAACTCTGTTCTTGCTAACAAAATATTTGGAATTCCACTTGATGAGCTGCAGCAAGAAGGGCAACCAGACAATGAGGTTCCATTCATAGTCCGCCATGTTGTGGACTATATTGAGGAACATGGTATGTACTATCTTGCTGTACTTTTAATAATGGATTTAGCTGTTATTCTTACAGAGTAGGTTGTAGTTTTTGAAGAGTATTTGTTTTCTTAAGTTACTTACATTTAATTGGGTGTGATTTGGGTTGTTTGGGGATTTTTTTTTTGTGATACACATTTCCTTTCTTTACTTCTTCTGTTATGTTTGATAATAGCTGTTTTCTAGCTAACACTAATGCAGTCAGCTCAGTAGGGTACTTTATAGGAAATTGTGTCTTTTAGGTACTCCTAACATTTACCTCATTAGTGTATTGTTACCAGGGCACAGGAATGTGTTTGCTGGGAAAAGGACTGCTACAAGTCTTGCAAAACTGTTGTCCAGAAAGTCTTTCATTCAGTATGTGAATTGTGCATAGCTGATAATCAATATTTTCTGATATATTTGTCCATGCTAGATCTAAAAGTATATTTCTGCAACTTTTTTCTAACTCAGGGGGTCTGGAACAAGAAGGACTTTTTCAAGTCAACGGGAATGCTGAGACAGTGGAGTGGCTTCGGCAACGATATGATAATGGAGAAGATGTGGACCTGGTTAAAGAAGCAGATGTGCCCTCAGCTATTAGCCTTCTTAGATTTTTTCTTCAAGAACTTCCAGAGCCAGTTATCCCAGGCAGTTTGCACGTACATTTGATGCAACTTTCTCAAGGTAATAATTATTTTTGATTCAGTGTTTTGATTTTATTACTTTAAGAGTAAAAACTAGTATTAAACAGATTTGTAGTGGCACCAGGGTTTCTTTAGTGTTTTGTGTAATAATGATGTGCATCAGGAGGCATTCAAATACACCTTTCTTAGCACAAACCCTAAATAAATAGGTCTTTTTTAGGAAACTCAGTCTGGGTTCAAAGACACAGTTTACCCATCATGCAGGAAAATAGTGAAGCTGCCACGTATCATGCTGGTTAGGTCTGAATATTCCATGTTCTTGTATGTGAATACTGGGATGCTGGTCAAAGCCACTGGAATCAAAGTTGTTTGAAAATTTCCCACCACTAACACTTTAAAAGTGCTAGGGAATGCTTCGTCTTATTTCCTCTAAATTTCACTCTGCTTGGGCTGCCTTGGCCCTTAAAGCTTTTGTGTACTGGAGAAGAGACCTCAAGCTCTATCCTTGCATCATTTGCTCTCCCATTGTGGATTTTTTTCATTTTAAAATTCATTTGTAGGAAGAAAAAAACCTGCCTGTCATCAGCGCATTGTTGCTAAGTATGTTTTTTCATATACTACAAAACTTTGCCCTTTGAGATTGACACCCATATGTTGGCACAGTGTCTTCTTCACCAATTCCCAACTTGTCTGTCTGTATCCAGTCTCCTGGGTCTTTTTGCCTCTGCTCTGCTGAGCGGTGTTGGACCTGATTCATGACTTGACTAGTAAAGCCCTTGTCTTGCAGCACAGCGTTAGTAACGTCCTGGAAGTCAGAGTTCCGCCACAACCGAGGGCTCTGCTGGTTGTTGCTTGTTTTCCAGTGTTCATTCCTACTTTTCTTCCAAGTGCTGGAATTGTTGTGCTTTGTAAGGTGCACGTTTTCGTTTGATTTAGTTTTCTGGTTTTAAGTTTGTTCCTGATAAGAACTTGATAATGCTTATGCTAGTGCCGTTTGTTCAGAGTGGGAATTGGTTTGTGGAATGAGTGAGTGTAGCATAGTTTTCATGTGCTGTTATGCTGTATTTACCAAGTGCTGAACTTGTAAACTTGAACTTGAACTTCATTTTCACCCTTGGTAGCCCGTATATCCGAAACTTTCAATGTGGGGTGGTTATCTGGATGGCTGGTGAGCAGAGGCTCAACACTGATGAGTGAGGCACTAGTCTTGTGCTGGAAACAACTTTTGGAAGCTGCTGACCAGAGAAGCTTGTTAAGGCAAAGTTCTCTTTGTTTGTTTGTCCTGTGCAATAATGAGAAACTGAAGTGGATAGAGCATTTCATTAGTGATATCTCTATTTGATTTGCGTTGCTAATATTAATGTTAATATATTAGACCTAGGTAGCTAGTAAACGGTTTGTTGTTTGTTTTTTTTCCCCCTCCTGAAAAAGATGATAAATACCAAAACGATTGTTGAGACAGTAAAGCCGAATGCTGCTGGTTGCTCAGCTAATACTGCTGCGTGCTTTGATTTGCAGTGTTATCTATCAGGACTGGAAGTGGGATGGAGGTATACTCACTTGGTGTGACAGTGTAGTTCTCTTTTATGACTTGTCATATATAGTGTGAAATCGAGATTTTTTCCATCTTTGAATCGATGACTGTGGAAAGATTTACGTATGGGTTGTTTTGGGAAAAAAGCTATTCTTCAGCAAATAAGTCCCCGCTTATTTCCCTTTTGTTAAACATGCAGAGAAACTTCACTTAAGCTTGCAGCTTGTCCTTGCTGGCTTTTTTAAAGTGTAAAATAAAGTGAGTTCAGAAAGATTTAAAGTTAATCTGTACCAAGGAAATCAGGGCACATGAACCTTTAAACATTGTTTCCTGATACTAAAATTAGAGTTTCGGTTTCCTCCGCTCAGGTTTTGACTTTTGATATTTTGACTGTCTGATAGACGTATCTGTGGTAGTTTCTAGAATTACAATATCAGCTGCCTTTTAGGCAGAGATGTTGCTTACAGAAGTGCAGAAGATGGTCATAATTTTGGATCCGTATGTTACTTCTGGTGTTTCCCTCCTTAGCAGACTTTCCGTGTCGTTACGTTAAGCTTAGCTCTCGAAACGACTTAGGCCACACCTTGTTGTATAACTGTGTGCATCTTTGGAGGCTCGTTTCGTGCAGGCCTAACGGGGGGGTCCTCAAAGGCAAGTGAGTGTAGTAATTGGAGTGTGAGTTTGACCCCAGTACGCTAGGCCATGTGTCCCACAAGTGTGTATCCATGGTTTCCTGTCAGAAGACTGCAGTTACAGATAATGTTCTCACTTCAGGTCTCTGGCTGTTGTTCAGAACTTAAATTTTAGGACAGATTGGTTAGACACAGCGTCTATATGTGTATGTGCAAGGTGCTCTGACTATCACCTCTCTCTCTTGCTCTCTTTCTTTTTGAAGGTCCACTTTGTGAAAGTATTTTTTAGGGTCTCTTTTGCTGTTCTGTTTCCTAAACCTGTTTCCAGAGTGAAAACTAACAGTACTACATTCGTTTTCTTGTGTTACTTTGTTGAGAGAACTGTTTTTCTGTGCCTGGTTACCTGCATTCAGATACTGAAGATGTTGACTGTGTCTGAGCAGATGAAGTCCTGCAGAGTTACTGTTTGGTTTTACTGTACATATGCTTCAGGGATTTTACTCACTGCTTTGATTTGATGTTAAGGACTAGGATGTCTCAGATCTCTCATCTAGAGAGGCAGGGTGACTGCTCATCATCTTCAAATATCCTCTTCCCTTTCTAACTGATCTGAGAAGAGTTTTCAAATGTTTGAGAAAGAAGGGGAGGCCTGTTAGTATCAATTTTTCTCCTGTTTTGCTTTCCTGACGTTTCTTTCCTCTATATGAAATTTCTCTATTAGGTACAGACAATTGTAAACTCTTTGAACCTTGTTGCCTTTAAGGCTGATAATGTAACAAATGAGATTTGTGGGGAGGTATTTTGATGAAGGGTGTAGTTTGATGTAGAGTGAGAATAATGCAGTTTTATGATGAGCCTTTTTCGGGTCTGAAATTGAATCGGCAAGCTTCACGCTAAGTATGTGTTAGAGTGATTGCATTGAGGTTGCTTGCGTTTGTCAGCCAAGGATTACAAAAGGGAGTAGAGTTTTGAGAATGAATACTTGTAGAGGAAAAAGTGACCACGTGGTTAGCTCATCTGAAATGGGGACAATTTGACTAGAGCTCTTCTGCAAAGCTATTGTTGTAACAGTGGTGAAATGAAAGGCTATGGAGGATCTAGTCCTAGGTGATCAAGAACCTGTCTGAGCATTACTTGGAGAAAACACGCTGAAAACTACTGGTTGGACTTGCAGATGGGAATGTGGTGGAAATCATTGGTGTAGGTTATAAATTTTTGCTTTGTAGAGGAAATTAAATTTACCATAAGGGAAGGTAATCTGATGGCACCGTTCTATGGGAGGGATTTATTTTATGTTCTCCCACCTCTTCACCACCCCTCCAAACATCGGACATCATTGAAGAAGAGTGATGGAATAGGAGATGAGTTGTCAGGCTTTCTTGGAAAGCTTGGAGAGGAAGAGACTGATCCAGAGACTGAAATGAGAGGATGACATGCTGGGACAGAGAGAGTGTTCAGAAGTACTGCCACTATAAATTTCCTTCAGATACATGGGCTGGATGCTTCAGTTTTTGGGTTTGGGGTGCAGTGTTGATTTTTTTTTTCTTTTTCCATGGAGAAATTTAGTACGAAAATCTTAGACCAAACAAATGCAAGTCAAATTCTCATATTTTGGGCTGTAATCTGACCAAATTAGTCGTACTTCAGAAGTAACTAATTGTTATCAGAGTTGATCAATATCAAATGGGAAAAAGCAGATATTTTATTTCTGTGAATAAAATATATTTTTTATTACATTTTTCAGATTATAATAACGAAGATGAATTTGGAAGAAAGTTGAGGTTCCTCTTGCAGCAGCTTCCACCTGTTAATTACAGTTTGTTAAAGTTTCTGTGTAAATTTTTAGCTAATGTAGCATCGCATCATGAAGAAATTTGGTCAGCAAGTTCTTTAGCTGCAGTCTTTGGCCCGGATGTTTTTCAGTAAGTTAGTTATAAAAGTTCATGCCGTGTTTTTATGTGAATTTGACAGTGTACATCTGTAGTCTAAAGTCTTTCCTAGCCCATGGGTAGCAGGAGCAAGTACACAATATGGTTTGCGCAGTATCTTTGTTCACCCCACTTCCTCACCCTAGTTTTGTCTTACAGTTTTTGCTCAGATCTGAACAGCAGCTTATCTGTAAACTACGATGTTAGAAACCACCGATTTGATTGTTGCATTACTGAAATTATACTGAGGTTCAAATTTTTTAGAGATATTATGTAAGATGGCTATTTATAGTGAGAAAGCTGTTTTAGGAGGAAGCTCTTAACGTATGAACGTGAACTGCGATTTCCTCTCTACAAGAAAATACTTGAATTTTAAATATTCCTCGTGAAAAGTTAATTGACTTAATAGTTGTTACTTCATAAGTTTTAAATATAAACTAGTATAAAGCTTTATAATGCAGTGGTGGGAAGGTACGCTTAAAGTTCCGTATGTTCAGTATGGATTAGGGATAATGAAGCGTAGCCCTTAGTCATAGGGGTCATTCACAGGAGTTCTTTGGGAAAATAGTTGGATTTAGGTTTTTAAACTAAACCAGTGTTGAAATCTTCAGCATTTACACAGATGTGGAGGATCTGAAAGAGCAAGAAATAGTTAGCAGAATAATGGCGGGACTTCTGGAGAACTACTATGAATTCTTTGAAAATGAAGAGGAGGATTTTTCATCTACTAATGATTTAAGCTCAATAACTGAGCAGGTAAGAATATTTTAAATGGCAATATATTATCACTTAAGTATCTGTTACACACATTTATGTTTATGAAAGATATGTTGAAATGTAATTTTCTTCACTATGCCTTTTGGTAGTTTCTTGCAAACTGACAAAACCTGATATTTTCTTAAATGCATTTTCTTAACAGATATGCTTGTGAAATTGTTGCTTTGTAGTAAATATAGCTATGCTATATAGAAAAATACGTAAGAACTAAACCAACGATGTGTTGCCCAACACAGACACTGTTATGCTCTGTAAACAGTATAGCTTTTTAACTGCCTTTTTAAGAATGGAGAACTGTTTTTTAAGCAAATGCTGAATCATGCTGTTGTTGGTCTTGGTCCATAATATTTGTAGATGTGTGTTACAGAAACGTGCAGGGTCTCGCACTCCTCTTGATGATTTTGTCAGTTGTATTTCCATATACCAAAAGTTTTGAATGGTGTTTCTGATTCTAAGACTTAAAAATATCAACTTGATATTAGTGGGGAAAAGTGTTGAAATTAAAGAAACAAAGTTGAGTGGAATAGAAATACTCTGAGTCCTGGTACTCAGCTGTCAAGACTGCCAGATTCACCTGTCCATGTGACTGATGGTATCCATTATTCTTCTGCCTTTTCTCACAAGAAATTTAACTTTGTGAAGTAAAATACTGTGTCATGCTGGGATAAATAGAGATGGAGAGTTATTAGGGAAATGAAAGCTTGTTATTGTGATACAGCCTTCTTCTGTTGGCAGATATTTTTAATTCTAGCAAGTTGTGGTATATAAGTGATTATACAGAAGTACTACTTCCATGCATTATCAAAGCCAGGTTCACGAATTACTAATAAAAATCTTGGCTCAAACCGTTCCTCAGAAACATGGAAAGCTACAGACTGTATTTTCTCATTTTTGGTTGGCTGAAGAAATTATGTATTTTTTTTAAGAAGGAAAAAGGGTAAATAACCAGCAGTTGCTAAGGAAGGTAACAAGAAATACTGAATTTTTAAAGCCTAATTATCCCACTAACCCCTCCTCTAGCAAGACAGGTAAGGCAAGTACTAGGGCAGCTGGTTGCTTGCTCTTCACTGCAGTAGACACCTCACCCGTTGGTCTGGTGTGCCAAGTGTGGGCAGCAGGTTCTGGATGGAGCAGCTTCTGTTCTGCTAGCTCTTCTAGCAAGGCGCTGCAGCTTTGCAGTGTTTGCTGCCTCTTCAGCTCTTTGCAGGAGTGTGTCTAGCACAGGGAACTGACACAGCCCTGCTGTAAATAAAGCTGGGCTGCAACTTCTGCAACCTGAAGCTGAGGACTGTCATCTTGGGTTGAGATGACTGCTTTTTGAAGTATAGTTGATCTGTACTCTCATGCTTTGGAATTACTGACATGTCTGTGGGTCATGATATGTTTTAGCAAAAGGTTTTTCCAAGCATAACAGTCTGTGATTTGTTCCCCCTCACACCCCTCCCCCCACATTGAGGTCTGGTGGGGTGTCCCTTGAATTTCGTGGTGTCTCCACCAGATGTCAACAGCGCACTTCTGTTGGATCCCACTCCCTCCTGCTGCGCTGCGGGTGCAGCCCCACTGGCAGCTGACTTGTGTGGGTGGGCATGCCCTTGGCTCACTGGCACATCATCTTGCAATTAGTGAGGAAAGTCAGGGATAAATGTGTTTCTTACTCTGAATGTAGTGCCATATAACACTTTACATCCCTTTAAAAAATAAACAAACACCTTCTCTCTGCCTTCTGTGTAATCTTAAACTTCTTTTCTTCAGGCTACTGCTGCTACTTTATTTTTTGGGTTTGCAAGTTTGAGAGATCAGTAATCAATCACATAGAGGCTTTGCAAATCAAGCTATCACTTTTTTACATTTACCTCCGTTTTAGGCATAGTTGCTTTTTAAAAAATGAAGGTGGCTGTATAGAGTTGTCAGTTGGCTCTATTGTTTTACTTTTAAATTGACTATATTTTATTGCTTCAGTAAAAGCATCTTCTGTGTTTGGAAACAAGAAACAAAAAAACCCCAAACAAAAATAGACAAGCAGCTTCACAGAAACTTCTCAATGCTCTTGCATTTTCCTTTAAAGTACTGAGTAGATACTTATACAGTTTGGATTCTTAGACTTCTATATTGCCTTCCATGGAAGGATTTAAAAATGCTTCTCATATATGAATAAGGCTACCTGTGGAATAGAGGAGGATTAGATGTTCCTGTTCTACACGTAGAGTAAGAAAGGTTCTGTGCCTTGTGACTTCAATGCGGCCAGGATTTTTTTGTTCCTTGATTCTGCTTGTGTTCATTTACTGCATCGAAGGTGCTTCTCTTTTCAGTCTTTGTCTAATGTTTCAAAAGGGTTATGTAGCTTTCTACTGATGTGGAATGTACGATTTTACATAAAGGCAAGTCTAGTGTGCCTGTTTTTCTAAAATTGTAAAATATTTCCCTCTTACATATATGTTCAGTTTATGCCTCTCATGCTCTTTTAATTCCCTGGACCTCTTGAAAGAACTTTTCAAGTCATTAACTGTGAATAAATCTTTATTAGATAAATGATCTCTTGGAAGAGGAGGAAGATGTAAAGCTTGAGCAGTCTGAAGAACTTCCAGAAGATGGCACAGAGAAACCTGTAGAAAGGCCCGCTGTGGTGCATCTAGATATGACAGGGAGTCTCTCGGATTCCAGGAGCGTTACAGCATCGACAAGGTAACTTGTTCCTGCTTTGGTGTTTGGATTTAAAGTTTGGAGTGTAGTCTGTCCTGTCTGAGAGACAGAAGCTGTCAGGCTTTTGAGATATGTGGTGGTGTCTACAAAGTGAAGCTTTATAAGTAGGTGCAGTTCTTGTAGTAGTAAAATATGGGATAAAATAACTGTTCCCAAGTTCAGAAGAGGAATGCCTGTAGAACTCAGATTGAATTAACTGTGGTGATTTATGCAGAGAAAGGGAAAAGGGGAATATTATACTGAAACTGTAAAGTCATATTTAAACAGTAAATTTTGTAGCAGAAATATAAAAAGTATCTGAATATTGATAGATGGAAACCTATTTTGTGCCATCTGTCCACCGCTCTCTTCCAGAGGGAAGTCCTAGGACTATTTCTTGTTACATGCTAGTGAGCTGGGATGTGTCCTTACATGACTCTAATTCATTTCTAACCCTGTGAGAATTTGTTTGTCCAGGGTTTTTTTTATGCCCAGTTTGGTCAGTTGCTAAATGAGGAAAGTACTTTCTTATTTCACTAGAGTACAGTGAAATATGTTTCACAAACAGTTGTAATGAAGACTCAGTAGATGTGATTACCTCCTGAAAATACGGTAGAGAAAGAAAACACCAGGGATGGTATATGACCAAAGGGATAGTGGCGAGCAAGTGGTTTAAAATTGACCATTAATGATTTTTAGGTTGGAATTTAGATGTTCTAGAAAGGCCTTTAGTAGGAGCAACGGGCAGGAAATTTTGAGAACTTTAAAGATAGCGTTTTTTAAGGTTATATGTGAAAATTTGTAGAATGAGCTGCTTGCAAAAAAACTTGATTTGAGAGTCCTGAAAGTCTCCTTAATTTGAGTTGAAATGAAGGTACCCTGTCTATGAAAGTTGACTTGCTAATATGTTTGTAAAACACCTGAAGATCCTTCTTCAAATAATTTAAACTCTGCTACCTAAATTTATCTCGGAGGCTGATGTTTATTATATCAGTTTAGGAGCGACATGACTGGCACCTATGCACAAGCCGAGGCTTCATTTGTTAACTACTTTTTAGAAAAAAGTTGCTAGAAAAACACATGGAAAGCCAAAGTATCCATTGTCCAAACAGGTGTAACAGCTGCCAAAGCTGGAGGGACCTGTGTTACCTGCCTAAGAGCTGGACTCTGGAGAGGGATCTGTTTGGATAAGCTCTGCTGGTAGAGAGCTGTGAGCTGGTTGGGAAGTTGCAAAGTACAGTACAGGCAGGAGTGTGGGAGTGGGAGTCACACCAGTCCTCATAAAGGAGTTTCATGAACTTAAAATGGTATTTCTATTTGAAAACTTATTTGCACTTGCTTGTAATACACAGGTTTATGTTTTGTGGGTAGTGCCAAAGTTTTAATTTTTAAGGCAGCTTTACTTGTTATACAGTTTACGTAGCTCTACAGCATGTGTTAAGTATGGACATTGCTTGTAAGAACTTGCAGGGAGGGGCAGGAAAAATCTTTAGTAAAAGTGTGACTAAAAGCAGAAGAAATGCAAGAAAAATCACAAGTAAGTTTACTGCCTGAGTAGTCTCAGGAATGTGGATTTCAAGTTGAAATCTGTTCCGCTGCTTGGCTGCACGCTTCCTTCTACTTCATTGCAAACATTTGTAAAATATAAAACAATGAAACATAATTTGAATTATAGTTTAATAGTTAATTATCCTTGTCAGTAATAGAGCTGTTTAATTTGAGTTAAATTAGAAAAAAATATTTTCTGCTGAAACTGGAATTTCTACAAAAGTGCTCCTTCTTCCAGTTCAAGTTTTAAAGCAATTTAACTGTTCACAGGTATTTAGTTGCTTGTGGAACGTGTAAGCGCAGCAGTAGTGACAAACTCAACATGTCTGAGGATAGCCTGAAGAGAAAAACATTTTTACTCGATGTTTAGGGATAATTAAAAATTAATAGGCATTAATTATGGTTGGCATTTTACATAATTTGTGGGGAAGGATAAGGAGGAATTCTGTAGAAGAAGAAAGAGAATTTTGACTGTAAAACCAGAGCAACTGCAGGAAACATTTAAAAAAGAATAAATTACACAGAATGAGGAAGTCTGCTTTGTTAAACTTTTAACCACTACAAATACTGTAAATATTTTTCCAAACTTAAAGGCTTTCATAGTGCTTTTAGTGGCCTTTTTTTGGTGTGTTTTAGTTTCTTGATATAAAAAAATTAAAAACCCAAATGTTAGTGCAGGTTTATTGGGATGTTTGTCTTGACATAGGGCCTGCAGCAGCTTATAAGGAAAGTGGGAGGAGAAATAGATCTTAAATATGATTCTTGCAGTTCCTTATCCTAGAGTTTTGTTACCTCTTTGCTGTTGTCAGATTTTGGGAACTGAGGATGTGCGTATTTTGGTCTCTTTGTGGAGAGAAGGAAAAGAATGCTGAGGTTGCATGTTCCACATCTTAAAGATTGGTTTCATTGATGGGTATATGACCTTCCTTCTAGTTATTTGGACTCTAACTTGTTATAATATTCCTCACTACCTTTTTTTTCTTTACTCATTCTGTTTGTATGATTGTATGATTCATGCACTGCGTGGTGTTAATTTGACTTGGAGTTAGATCTGGTGAGAATGTGGGTAATCATTAGTGCAGTTTGATTTAGTGACTGCTTGAAAATGTTGTTGAAGAGAAACCTGTTGAGTGGTCTTGAAGCCTGTTAGCTGATCGGGGAGCATTTGTTGCACACCAGTTGACATGGTGTTTGTAAAGGAAACATGGTGTTCTCCATTATCTGAAGCCTTTCACCAGGGCTGGTTTGGTTTTCCTGTCCTGGCTTTTGGAGAAAAGAATTCCTGACTCAGCGTTGCAGCTGACTTTTAAGATGTGGGGTTGAAAGGATCACTTTAGAGTCCTGCTCTGTCATTATTGCAGTTTTTTCATCACTGCACTTTGTCAAGCAGTGTTTGCTTTACTTTTTGCAGTTCATCTCAAATATTGTCTATCAGAAACCTAATATAAAAATTCTCGATATGTTCTTTGGACTTTTCAAAATTCTATATATAAAAATATAAGATATGACAAGTTGTAAGTTCTGTAAACAGTTTGCTTTGTCTGTATTAAATGCAATAACAAGGGTGATATCCTCACTGCTTGTGTGATATTTTTTAACCCTTTTTTGTTTTAATTAGCTCTGATCAGTGAAAGAGAGGCAGTAATAATATCAACAGCAACAAAGTGAGACAAAATGCACATATAGTAAAGCTCACCAAAGACAACAACTGCCTGAACTGCTAGAAAATATATTATTTAGTTCAGAGCTGTCTTTAACATCCACATACTTGTCAAAAATCTGTGAACAACGTGTTAGGAAAGCTTTCAAGTGGTGATTGGGCAGCGTATTGTCAGGAGTGACCTCATGTTGCAGTCTGGTTCTATTTAGACTGCAGGGTTTAGTGCAGCACTCCAGAAGTGCTGCCTGACAAGCAGGATGCACAGCCAGCAGCCAGCATCACGCTTTGCCGTCTTCCAAATGAAGCATTTTTACATGAAGTGCTCGTTTGGGCTAGCAAAAATAATCAGAATGGCCTGTAAAGTTCTGCTGCACAGGTAAATATATGAAAGGAAAATGTTGCTTTGATAGGATTTTAAATAAGACTTTTTTTAACTTGAAAATTGTGTGAGATTGAATGTGGTTTTGGAGATATTGTGAATTGAAATAATGTCACAACTGATTTATTTTTTTTTTAATGAGAAATAAGAATCTGTGTGCAGTCAGTAAATTGCCAAGAAAAACTTTGAAATGTTTTATCTCTAGTTAATGTATTTTTCTGTCTCAAGGTGTGTTTTTACTGGGACTTTTGATGGGTAGGGAGACAATGCAAACCAGATCCTCGGGAGTGGGTTAGCATTATGAAACAAAGATGTTTACCTTTCTGTGTCTTGCTGTGTCATGCTGCGTTAAGGCTCTGTGTAGCAGGATAAATTACAGCTTTTAAAAAGTATCCTTGAACTGTGGTACATGGCTTCAGAAGTTGTAATGTATTTTTGGGGAAGAGCGATTGACACATTTCTTTCAAAAAGTGCTTAATTGCTGAAGGGATTAATTGAAGACAGAAGATATTCTTTACGTAGTAAGAGGATTCTTCAGGCTTTGCAACGCTGCTGATTTGTGTACATCTTTTGCTGGGTGCCTCTAATGCATCTAAAGGTGTTTAACAAAAGCACTGGTGAGCAATCCTGCGCTGAGGGCTGAAGGTTACACAGAGATGGAAAATTTTGTTGTGAACCATGGCTGAAATCTTTTGGATTCTTTGGAGATGAGTTTGATTCTCCCCACTCTTGACACAGTTCATTGTCTCAAGGGGTAGAATAAAAGGATTCCAGGTCATCATAGTTTCCTATAAATAGAGTTTGTACTTGTGCCCTTGACTGAATTTTTTTTGCTCTCTTTTACAACTAAAGTGTTAGTGTTCTGTGCTCTGGTTGCTTTTTTTCTTTTTACCTCCCTCCCAGTTTGTCCTAGGAGTGACTGTGTTTTAATAGCAAGTTGATTTCAATGTACACAATTATGTATTAGTACTTTTAGAAGATAAGCATTCCTTTTATAATGCAACTTCTGGAGAACTCACTGACAATACTGAGATTGGATACTTAGAAGTACATTTTTTGTGTTTTGAAATCTTACTTTTTTTTTTTTCTGAGATTCTTCCTTGTGATCCTCCTCTCTTTTATCTTGTTCATGAAACTGCTGAACTTATTCAAAACTTCATGTCCTCACTTTCTTTATTTCAAGTATTGTCAAACTAAAATGTGTTTATCAGAAAACTTGCTTTGTATAAGTAATAGGGCTATGCTGAACTTCTGTGCGCAGAAATACCAGTGAAATGTGAAAATCTGAAGTTGTAAACTTTTTCTTACCATTTCTGTGAAAGAAAAAAAATGAAATGCCAGTGTGTTCCCCCTCAGTTGTTTGATCCAGCATTTTTGAAATTAGTGGCTACACGATCTGACTTCTATAGAAGGTGTTTTAATTTTCCAAAGCTGTGTGGCAATATCTGTCTTGAAATAGTAGTTTAGAGCTACCTGTTCTATCAAAGCATTTACAATAGATCTTTGTTTTTTTCACCTAGGCAAACACACATACAAATCATAAAATGAGCTTGATGCAAAATCAAGTTTCCATTAGAAGAAAAAAGAGGGAGACAAAAAATAAATTAAAAACTGTGAGCACCTGCTTGCTCAGTTGTTACATGGTGGTGGTTAAATACAGTGCACTCTGCTTTTGGCCCAGTACAAGTAGTTCTAAGGCAAAAGGGCATAACTATTTTAAAATGAATACTTTAACCACTTCCCTTATCAGCTATTGCTTAATTGAAAGTCCTTTATTGCTTGTGTTTCATCTACTTAGAGGAAGAAAAAAATAAAGTCTGCTTGAGGTGGTCCAATTATCTTAACTCTCTGGTGGTGGAACTACTAATAAACTTAATAAAGTCTAACCAAGATATTCCTTGCTGTATTAAAACTATTCCTGGGTAAGCAGAGAGACTGTCCACATTTTTTGGTGCAAGCAAGGCTAATATCAGTCAAAACTACCTCGCAGAGGTAGTACCTGTTTGGTTCCCCGGTGGAACGGCAAGCTCCTTCCTATTTCAGAGTTCACTTCATCCATTCATGACAATAATATTTAAAATCAACTTTGGCTGCTAACAGTGTTGTTGCATGGTAGAGGGTAGACTAAAATTTTGTTTTTCAGCTTTTTGAGCTTAGTTATATATATAATAGGAAGAAAAGCATTTGTTCACCTCCCTCCCTACCTCCTAGTTGAAATGAAGTTAGTATTTTTTTTTTTTTCCTCCTGAAAAAGATAGATAAATTGCGACTTCCACCCATCCACCTTCCCTGAGAGGTTAACATCGTAGGCTGAAGGGGCTGATGCTAGGAGATTTCCAAATGCTTTACAGATGGCTAGCTCGTGTCTCAAAGCCTCTGGAAGGGACCTGCCTTGCACTTGAAGTGTAGCTCTTCTTGGAGAGAGCACTGCAGATCTGTTGAATGTTGCAGAATAAAATTATGCAACAGTCTGAGAGGCAGGGAGGAATCTCTATGAATTGCAGCTGTGGAGGAAAGCAGAGTAATTTGGAATTTGCTTTAGGCAGCAAGGTTAAAATCTGCATTCTTAAGCGAGGTGTCGGGAGATCTTTGGAGACCGAGTGATTAGTATTTCCCATGGGAAAGACCGTATGTCTGAGAGCTTATAGCTCTGTAATATACTGAGTGTTGGCTTTTGACAGACAGAAATCTGCATTGCTGCTTCTGCAACTTCCTGTCTTGCCATGACATTCTCCAAGATTTATCTCAATAATAAAGGGGCAGCAAATCAGTGTTTTCCTTACGTACTTGTTCTGCTTTTATTAGCTGCATTACTCCTTAAGTATTTTCTAAGCTGCTTTCTGTTGACTTCAAGACTTTTATTTAGTGTGGTAAGTTTTTGCATTACTTTAACTTATTTGTTCTTTATTGCAGTGCTCATATCTCTCCCATAAGTATCTTGCCAGCCTCTGCAGAGTAAGTATAATGAAAATATGTTGGAATTGTGATGTTACTAGAACATGCATAGAAGATAAGTCTTCTTTCAAGAAAAAGAAATGCAGTAGGTTTAATGATTACAGTTTTTAATGAAGATGTTCTAGTGTGACGTATTTCGATTATGGCATTTAACACTAATGCAGGAGGAACCTAATGTTTGTCAGTGGTGTTGACTGCAGAAGCATGAGAGCACAGTAGGGTAGAATGTAGATTCCAAAACACTTTGACTTTATATATTGGTACGTCATAGGTGTTTGACTTTAAAATTATGATAGCATTCACATTGTATCTTTAGCATCACTTCTAGTTGTTGATATTGAGTACTGTTCAGTGGAACTGGTGTGTACAACTGTGAAAGAAAAAACTCACACAGTTCTAGAGTTAAAAATGAGGTAAAACAGTTTGATTCTTACACGAGGGTTTGTTTATAGGCCTGATTGTGTATTTTAGATGAGCTGGCCAAGAAGCAGTTAAGAGAGTAGTCTGTTTTTGAAGAATGTTGTTCTCTTCTTGATGTATTTTTGGGTATATCCTGTGTCCTTCATCAGGTACTTGCTCATTGTCTCTGCTGTTGTTTGCCTCTTGCCTTTTAAGATTACAGCCCTGTTCAGGAGGGGTTACAGCCAGCTGTGCTGAAGTGCTACCAGCCCCAGGATTAACTCTAACCTGTTACAGAAAGGATTTTACTGTCACATTAGAGTATTAGGCTTCTATAAGTTTTTATGTATAGTTATTAAGAAAAAAAAGGAATTGTGTTGATTACTCTTAAAATGCTGTTAATAGACTTCATATGTAAATCTTATGAAATAGAAGATAGTAGGTGCAATAATTTCCTCTGCCTTTTGGAAAAGTTAGTCTCTCTTTGCCTTGAAGTACTTGTCATCAGATTCCTGTTGTGTGTAAACTTTATAATCTCTGCCTTTCTGCATAGTTGATCAATGCAAAAGGAGAATTCTTAATATGAATTTTCTTTTTTTTTCTTTTTAGCATTTTAGAAAGAACAATTAGAGCAGCTGTAGAACAGCACCTTTTCGACCTGCAGAGCAGCTTAGATAATGATCTTAAACATATACAGCAACACAGACTGGGCTGCAACAATGAAGCAAAAAATCCCAGTGGGGATGAGGAAGGATCTAACAACCAGTAAGATTTTTTTTTTTTTTCATATCTATAATGAATTCCATTGTATATCTTATCTCTTCCAAAGCAAACTACACCAGTCCCCCACCTCATCCTGAACCAAAAGTTATGACTTTTGCTGTTAACTTCAATTTATCTTGTGTGTTAAACCGTATCAGCTTTCATCAGTTGCCAGTAATCAACAGCTCTTGAAGCAAATATTTTAAATTGATCTTATAGCTAAAAATGTTGTGAAGTACAGCTGCTTCACTGCTGAATTTTGTGCACGTAGCAAGAACTTAAATTTACTCCAGTGCTTTCATTCTTATCTGTGATGTTGCTTGTTGACACAGTTTTACCATATGAAAACTATTGTGGATGCTGTTTCAGTTTCTTTACCCTGTCTTTCCACGTCAACATAGCTATTCACTGCTCTGGCTGCCAGTGTCATCAAAACAGCTAAAAATGAGTAGAATGAACACTGTGAGTTTATTTGCATAGAGTTTCAGTCTTATTATAAGTCTTGCCAGGTTATGGCTGTAGTGATTGCCATGGCAGCATTGAGAAGTTGGTATGTTTTGGTACTTTATTAAAAATAAATGGTCACGATTAATACCCAGGCTCCAAAAACGTGTAATTAAGTAAGACTTCAGTACCTAAATTCCTTTGTGGCTCGGAGCCTGAAATACGTGAAGTATTCAGAAGCATGAGAGCACAGTAGGGTAGAATGTAGATTCCAAAACACTTTGACTTTATATATTGGTACATCATAGGTGTTTGACTTTAAAATTATGATAGCATTCACATTGTATCTTTAGCATCGAATGCTGTTTTCTAATTTGTTCAGTCTTTACTGGTTTTAGAAGTCTTATCTGTGACAAGAGGTCAGACCAAAGTTAGCAGTTGTTTGTAAAAGCAGTAATCATTGCTGGTGATGATCAATTAAAACTGAGTTTTAGTGTTAGGGATGGAATGTCTTTGGAGTAATTTATAAGTAAGTGAGTAATCGCCCGAAAGACCCGTTGTAGCTGAATTCCTCTGGTTACAGCGTAAGTGCTCTAAAGGCTGACTGACTTCACAGAAGCAGAGGCTGGAAGTACCATCGCTGCGGATTTGAAACCAGTATACTCTTCTGGCAGAGTGACTGTTTCAAATGCTTCTGATCATCGTTCCACTGTGGATTAACCGTAATAGAGGATACACGATAGCATTCTTGAAAGAGGTCGTCTGGGTCCTTTAAAGCAGTGCTGCCAGCAGATTATGCACAAGGCACATACACAGTTAAATGAGTAACTACAAAATACAGTGATCTAGTCCAGATTTCTTAGTTCTAACTTAAAATAATTGCTGGAATTAAGAAAAAACAGTTTGAATGTTAATTTTTGAAGCATCCCGTTCAGTATCTATGTATCTATAGAGGAGGAGCATTTTTTAAAGTAGTTTGGAATCCCTTGTGAGCAAGGAGAAGGAAGGCAAGGAAAAGGCTTATGAGGAATTACAGAATCGTGTGGTAACAGGGATGGTGGCATGCAAAGAATATATAGCCATAAATACGGTATAAGTTTTAATCTGGTTGTACTGTTACAAACCTTAAGTTGAGTTCTAGGAAGATTAAGTGTTAGAAATAATGAGATTTCTCACACAAGGGGAACATAGCAATGCTAGCTGTAAACCAGCTGGCTTCAGCAGTGAGAGGGGGTGTAGCCACAGCAACTTCACCAAGTCGTGGTAGTTTCAATATGTTGTTGCTTCTGGCTGTTGGCACTTGTACTCCTTAGCTCAGCACAGTAAGTGGAGGATGTATGACCCTTAATACAGGAATCAAATAAATACATTTTAATATGTCTGTCAAGTACTGTTGCAGAAAACCTCAGAGCTATATATAAACTACATAAATAATAAAATTTACCTACAGGTGATTGAAGTTGTAGATATTACCAGTATCTTTGGTCAGAATAATTTTGTTGGGAAAAAAAAAACCAACCCAACTCTGATGTTTGGTACTGTTTAAAGGGACGCGGAGGGAAGCACTATGGGTTTTTTCCTTTTAAAAGTGGAACAACAGGTTGATAAAGTCTTTCTGTTCTTATCTTTAGGAATGATGTTATTGAAGATAATGACACTGGTGACAGCGAGAACGCAGGAGACTGCTCTGGAGTATTGGTTTGCACTGATTTAGACAGTGAAGCTATGAAACATGATACTGTAACTGAGGAAGAAGAAAGCGTTCAGGTGAGAGGATGAGTCTCATGTATATGAAAATCATAACTTCCCCTGACTTGAGGAAAGTGCTTTAGAGATCCGAATTTTCCTAATATCTCTGATGCAGCCTTGCACAGCGGCGTTGCTCTGTGCTGTTAATTGCTTTCACTGCTGTGCATGTTTTGTAGACATGCACGGAAAAATTTTTGTGTATGTTGGTGCAACTTGTTTGGACTCTGACTAATGTTTGCTATTGCTCTTTCACAGGTACCAGCCCTTCCTTCTGCTCAGGTAAGCCAGTGTTATCGGCAAGCGTAACACGGGTTAGAATAGCATCTGAGGAGCAAAAGATCTAGAGCTGTGATTGTAGCATAGTCCACAGTCAGTCACACCTTTTAATGTACCAAGAAAGAGCAGAAGTAGCAGCCACCTTGAGACTCTACAGCCTCTTGACTATGCTTGTGCTAGGAAGATGTGGTTTAGTGATTAGTTAATTACAGCCTTTTCTCACTGTTTCTGATTTCTTCTGTGATAGGCATAGATGTCCCGTTCTTTTCAACACGGCTTCATCCCCTTTCTAGTTGAAAGAGGTTCTGTTACTTCTCCTTGGACCTCTTCACTTATATACTTGACTTGTGCTGTGCTGATAGCTCGTGTCCCTCCATACTGATGTGTTCACTTAAAATTGTTACACTTGAGGTGTTCAGCAGAAGAAAAATGAAAGAAAATTAGACATGTGACCTCCTGAAGAGGTTCAGTGCTTAATAGTGTCATCTCTAAAAGTAACAGGATTGACCGTTTGAATTCCAAAGCAGAAAAATCTGTCTAGAGTGCTGCATGAGCACATACTAGGATGTGATGCTAACATGCTTGTAAAAATAAAATACTTGGTTGTATTTTTTAAAAAAACTGTTTTGCTCAGAAAATACATCATTAATGATACTTGAAGTTGCTGTTGAAGTTCAGAAAGCAACTGAAAATGTAAACAACAAACCAGAGGATAATCAAGTGTTATAGATTTAATTTTGGCTTTGCTTTTATGTATTAGGCTTGAATTGAACAACTTCATGTCACTGAAAGAAGTAAATGTTGTATACAGGTTGAATGGAAGGACAGTACTGTAGCAACTGTAATTGTATAGGGCAAACAATTATTTCAACAACAAACATGCCTCAGTTTTGCTTTGAGCTGCAAATTATTAGATCTTCACATAGAATCAAATGTGAAGGTTTGTAGTATGTATGGCCTGAATTTGTGATGATGACCCGAACTGTACCAGCCTTTTTTCTGAGCAAGCAGACATCAGCCTCTCATTCAGGTTATCTTTATGCAATCAAGCAATGCTATAAAATAGGTGTTGACAAAAATGAAATCAAGTATAACAGTAATATGCAAGAGAATATAGTTTCTACCACTCCGTGTGAAATAGCACACATACAGCTGTCAAATAAGCACTTCTAATGAAAAATTCAAATCTATAGTTCCTTATTTATTCGGTAAAACTTCTGTTGTCATAAATCTAAATGATGAATTCCGTGGGTAGAGAGATTTGCTCTGCATGTGTAGAGAACTTTCTACAATGGTTTTTAGCTTCTTGCCTAAGAGTCCATAAATCTTTCTGAGGGTTTCCTGAAAGATAACTAGATAAGCCAACCTATTGTTAGTAGACTTAAATTAACTAGAAGAATTTAATGGGTCTGTGAACTTGAAAAGATAGAAATGGATGCCTTAGCATAGTGAAACAGTGAGTCTTGTCTGGAATCTATGATTTTATTAAAACAAAATGTTGCTGTAGCACTTTTGGTGTTGTAATGTGTTCTTCTCCTAGCCTTCTGTTTGCTTTCATGGCTCCCAAATTACTCTCTTGAATTACCTAACAAGCCAAATTTATCAATTCTTCTGGCTAACCTCCCATATTCTTTTAGAATCCCATCTGTAAATGAAAATTTCACAGAATGTATTGATTGTCCAGGTTCTTTCCTGATGTATTAATGCCAAATCTTACCATAAAAAAATTACTAGATTGTTCTCCTGCAGTACAAAATGCACAAAACATGGTGTTGCAATTAGATGATATTTTATCTGATTCAGGTGAATACTATGTTTGCAAGAACTCTGTTGAAAGTACAAGGTAGAGTTCCATATATCTGCCATAAGTCTTTTTCTGACTATTTTAAGCCTTCCTTTATTTGTAGTATTTGTTTTAGGTTTTCAGTCTTTTTCCAATGAAAGCCTTCAAAAGCAATAGAGAGCAAGTTTCTCGTGTTAACTCTAACACTTCACTTCCTCCTGACTTCCTAGTTAGAATATGTGCTGAGCTTTAGAAATGGAAACTCAGAAAATACAAATGTAGATGGAGAAACAAAAATTGCAAATTGGTGGCTTTTCGTTGCATTTCATACAGTTTCGATGATTTCAAACACCCGAGAAATGTGAATTACGCTTCTGATGAAGTGTGTGCACTTTGAAGTTCCAAAAATGTTACATGCTAAGAATATAAAAGGGAACATGATGCTTGGGAGCGCACGGTCATGTATAGATACACTTTTGTTGTCATACCCGATGTCATTCTTGGCCTTTTTTGCTTTTTGATAACGTTTCTGTCTGTTGGTATCATTGGTAAGGTGGCATTCTGGGATGAAGTTTTGTTTTTTCAGTGTTAGTTTCTGCCTTCTACCATTTCAAATGTTATTGGAGAGTTGTATCTTTTGGGGAGAGGTTAAAGGGAAATATACTGATTCTTCTGTATGGAAGGAGTTTGAGAGGGGCATATAGGGTTGTAGGAAATGAAAGATGTGCACGTGAGCTCTCCTTTGGGGCTGAAATGGAAACTGAAGCAGCTGTTTCCACAGCTACAATAAGTGTGACTATGCAAGACTTGCACAGCTCATCTCCAGGGTGGAAATTATCTGCTGGAGTATGACAAATGCACTGCAATTAAAAATCGTTTTCCCAAATTGGAATTTGACTTGAGGACTGAAATAACATAAACAAAATAATAGATTTTTGTCTGATAAGGGCGAATAACTACTGTCAGCAGTGTAAAACTGGCAACTGTTATGTGTATTTCAACTCTCCGGGTAACTTTATTTTATATTCAGACATTTTAAAGATCATTTGTGAGAAATTCTTGAAGTCTGAAACAAGATGTAATCTGTTATTTTAAACTGTCATATTTTATATTTCCAATTTCAAATAAGACACTTTTTGAAGCAATCAAGTGTTGGAATTTGTAAATGCTTAAAGTAGTCAGTCTTCCTGTGCCAACTTTTAGTGAACAAAATGGTGACATGTATTTATCTGAACTTGTTTTGTGAGATGATGTCACAGAAATGCCAGCATTTCTTCATCCCCTTCCAGTTCTGTTCCTGCTTTATTTAGTAACAGGGATTAGTAGCTCCTTTTAGAAAGTCTGTCAGACTTGTTTCATTTCTAATATGCTGAGCACAAGTCTGCATCCAACTCAGTTATTTTTGAGACTGGGATATACTTTTACTGCCATGATTTCAGTCACCCCAAACTTCATGCTGTGGTAGACAATTTGCAGTAGAACTGGTGGTGGTGGTATTTAAAAGAAATAATAAAAAAATGGTTTGTCTGAAGATAGAAAGTCATTGTCTGTCTTCTAGTGATTAAAACACCTAGTTACTGGCCTTACTTTAGATGTAAAAATATTGCATGGGTAAAAAGTATGATTTCCAGCCCCACATAAAAAGCTGTGCTTTTAGTTCTGGAATGTTTTTAGTGGTCAGTGATGATTACAGAAATGTTTTCAGCTGAGAATGCCATTCTCAAATATTTCTAAACATACTTTTTGCCAACAGACTGCAGATGTATTATTGAAACCATGTGATAAAGGTGCAGATGTTGATGGAGAAAACAATAGTGAAAGGTATGTATTTTTCTTTCATGGCAGAATGTGTAACTTCAGTCTTGAAAAGTAAGTGTGCCAAACTGGTGATTTGTGACAACACAGTATATCCTAAGGGAGGTGAAACTAAACATAGAACTTCTCTGAAAACAGAGAGGATAAGATGGAGTTACCTTTTTATGATGATACAAAAGACGTGGAAATTTATACACTTCAAAGAGAAAATAAGTACAAGCCTATATGGTATATATCATGGGGTTTTTTGGTGAACAGCCTTATGTTCTGGGCAAGAGAAAGAGAAGTTATTTTCTTTAAAATATTTTGGCACATTTTATTGCTCTTGATAGAAGAATTACTGCTGGTAATAGTGACTAGCCAGAAGACTTTAAGTTCATTTGCAGCTTGAGTTCAGCACTGATTGAATTTCAGTTTGAGTTCAATTGACTTTTAAAATATTTACTCCTATTTTGAGAATAAAGGCCTGAGCTGGTTTTATTTCCAGCTTAGTTTAGGTCAAGTTGTTGTTTACATGCTTCAGCTTGAAATTCTGTGTGGAGAACAAAGGAGGGGGAAGCAATGTAACTTTTCCTGCCTAGAATTTTAATTCTCACTCTAAGGAGATACATTGCATATCTGCTAAAACTGGACTGGGGTATGTAAGAAAAAAAGGTTAAGGGAATGTCTAGTATTTACAGTCCAGTAAGAACTTGTATTTAAAATAACTATGTCTGTGTCTTCTTTTTAGGCAAAATAGTATATTGCTTGATGGCAATGATAGAATATCTTCAGAGCTGTTTCTGGTAAGGTTATGCTTTTGTTTATATACAGACACACAGCATCTTATGAACTTACATGAAATACAGATATGAAGAAAAACAATAAATCTAGCTTTTAAATCTTATTCATTGACCTGCTGCAAGGTTTGCGAAACCTCTGTTAGAGATCCTATTATCTCGCTTCACAGAAACTTTTGGCAGCAGAGCAAGCTTATACTTATGCATATCATGTAAGGAATGTTTTGTAATGCAAATAATTGACTACTATTGGGGGTGGGAGGGAAGCTTGTTCATAATTTCTTGAGTTAGGAAAGAAAAATTTTTTTATATTTTTTTTCCCTAGAGAATTTCCAGAAGTGTTGGAAGTGGCACTGATTAAGTGCCCGATTTCCAGTTGCTAAAGAATAATAAAATTGTTCTGTTATGTTATTTAAATACAGGATTCAAGTAGCAAGACTTGTGATCTTAATGCAAATACTGATTCAGAAGTGTCGGGGGATGGCAACGTTAATGTTTCTGAGGAAGCTCTGAGTGTCCAAGTACCACGTCTAGATCTGAAGAATGTGTCTGATGGTGACAAATGGGAAGGTAATTTTCACCCGTTAGCTCGCAGTACAGTTAGTTAGTACTGGTAAATAGAACATTTGACAAAGTGGAAGCAGACAACTTAGACTATTTTTTCTTTAGTTCAATCTGAATACTATGTTCCTACACACGTGGTAGGATCGATCAAGTCATGACATAGGTCCCATCGAACTCTTTGCAACTTAATTAAGGACCTTAAAAAACCGTAAAGAAAAAACAGTCAAAGGAGCAACTAAAGAAAGCAAAAAAGCCTAAGTTTCCAACTAAAGGTTTTTGTTTAGGTTTGTTTTTTAAAGTGACTTATGGTTCACAGGACCCTGAGTCTCTCATCTAAGTCCTTAAAAACACTTTCTCTGATTATGTCAAGTAGTTAATATTCACATTGTGTCTTGTTTGTGTTTTTTTTTTTTTTCTCTTTTAAATGTAAGCTACTGGAGTTCTAGTATTAGCTGAATTTGGCTTAAAATCACTAAACTACTCAACACAGCAATTTATATTTCATTTATTCTGAAAAATCTGTTGGTTTTGTTAAACATTGGAGGGTGTTTAAAACACTAACATGTCAGGTGTTGGTTTCCATGTCATTGGACGACTTGAAACAGCTCTAAATTTTCAAATAAAATTAAAGCTGTAGGTGCATAGTATTTCTGTGCCCCTTCTCCCTCCATTGTTTGGATTTTAGGAAAAGCAAAATGTTTGAAACATGACTTTCTCTGACAGGATTCCTTATGTTTGCAACCTTATTCTTCATGGCTTTCCAGGTTCAGCCAGCCTCTAAGCTTCTGACTTTACTGAGCTTTTTTGCTTAAATGTCTGGTAATAATTGTTTAGACTGTTGTTTATTTGTGTAAAAACATAACCCCTTTGTAACCAGAGCAAAACACTCTTGTCAGTATCTTCTTTTCAAAGTACTTATCTTTTTACATGTTACTTATATTGTTTCCTCTGCCTAGTGTTGATATTCTGAATCAACACACCTTAAAAACCACAAGTGATACAGTTTGCTAAAATACTGTGAACTGTCACCGACAGTACAATGACCACAGTCCACTTGTTTCCAATTTTAAAAACTTGCCAATGCAACTTATAGAATCATAGAATCATAGAATGGTTTGGGTTGGAAGGGACCTCAAAGATTACCTAGTTCCAACCCCCCTGCCATGGGCAGGGACACCTTCCACTACACCAGGTTGCTCAAAGCCTCATCCAGCCTGGCCTTGAACACTTCCAGGGATGGGGCACCTACAGCTTCTCTGGGCAACCTGTTCCAGTGCCTCACCACCCTCTGAGTGAAAAATTTCTTCCTTATATCTAATCAAAATCTGCCCTCTTTCAGTTTAAAGCCATTGCCCCTTGTCCTATCACTCCATGCCCTTGTCGAAAGTCCCTCTCCGACTTGGTAGATACCATACAGATTTACTACGCAGAGACGAGGTTTTAACTTCCAACAGGCTGTTCCAGTGACAGCTCTTCTTTGGGATGCCTGTGTCATGGTCAAATGTTAGTAAGACACTGGTAACCAAGAAAGACTGCACTTAACTTCTGGTCGCTGTGTTACAAATATTGAAATTAGTGAAATATACCTGGAATGTATGTAGTTTAACAGTGCAGCATGTATTTGTATCATGTCATAGAATCACAGAACGGTTTGGGTTGGAAGGGACCTCAAATATCATCCAGTTCCAACTCCCCTGCCATGGGCAGGGACACCCTTCACGACACCAGGTTGCTCAAAGCCTCTCCTGAAGCTCAAATGGTGATAACTCATTGTTAATTTGTCACCAGTGTTGACTGCTTTCCAAATTAATTGCCTGCATGGATCCATCGTTCCTTTTACAAATGATGAGGTTTGCAACTTGTGATTGGCTTGCTTAGATTTGTAAAATATTTGCTGGTTGGCCTTCTTGAGCCCTAGCAAACTGTACATTCAGAGTATGTCGTGTCATATAGAGGTTGATTTGCAGGCATCTGAAGACACTGAGTCAAGATTTTCATTCTTGTTGCCCAAGTTAATAACTTTGTTTAAGGTTTTAAAAATAAAAAAATCATGCTTATTTTCTTGGTGTTTTATTTACATTACTTACTTACTTGCACATTACGCTATGTTGCATCATCTGTTTGTGTTAATCTGATTTAATATGTTCTCAGAAGGTTTGTGGCTTCCATTTTCATTATTTCCTTAAATCTGCTCATAAAAGTTGCTTTGGTTTTACTTAACCAAATAGCTTTTTAACCTTTACTTTGAAAAGAAAGTAGCACATCTGTATATAAATTTATATTATAAGCTTCTTGGTAGTAAAGTCATGATATTTTGCAAGAGGTGTTATTTCACTGCAAAGTATTTTAACTTTGGCTATTCTTCAGTCCAATTTAGAATGGTCATTAGGATCTGAGCCTTCTAAGGCACTGCAAGTCCTTGTGGTGTTCCAGTGAAGTAGGTGGGGTTTGTGAAGAAATCTGTACTAGTCCAAATCTTGTTACAAGATTTGAGTTATTAAAGCCTGTGTGATAGAAAACTTAAAGGCTTGTAACCAACAGAGTTCTTGGAAATGGACATCAAATGCTTGCTGGCTTAAGGCAAAAATGCAGATCAGTTTGTTTATATTTCTGAGGTTTTTTCCTGCATTTGTCCTGCTTTTTGGAAATTGCCACCATCTCTATTTTACAAGCTGTGAGCAAAAACATATTTAGAACTTGTCTTAATGTGAGGATGCATGAGACTCTTACTAAACTACAGTTAAGTCTTTACTATTCCTGTGTCAGTTCTTTGTAAACCTTTTCAGTGAAAAGTTCAAATTTGCCAAGGACTGAGCATCCTTACCTGCCATTGAAATTACTTGGAAGCTGAGAGTGCTCAGGGCCTGGCCCAAAAGATGGGATGTTTTTCCCTGGTACTGTATCTTCCTGCTTTACATGTTATGTATAGTTTGTTCTGACTGTGCTGTGTGTTCACTTTAGTATTTTTGCCATTCTTTTTCATTTTATTAGCGCCATGCCCTATCACTTTTCCCCTCATTGATTTCAAAACAATGCATCTGCAGAGAGAAGGGGAGGGTAAGTATGGTTCGCCATACGTTCAGTTATCTGCCTTTTGATAGTTTATGGTTTGCTTTCTAACTAACCCTTCACCTGCTGTCCCTTATATCTTGGGAATGTTCTGATCTGCCGGTTTTTTGTTTACTTTTTTCCAAAAGGTCCCCTTCTTGTGTCTTGTACTGTGTAAACAGGCAAGATTATACCTTAAAAACAAAATGAAAAATCCCAATAGTACTTAGTAAACAATGGAAAGCAGGTACAAGGGTTATTTTTTTAAAGATTACTTTGTGGGTTTTATTGTTGTTCTGCACACTTTGAACCCAGTTTTCAAATTTCTGATTTGAACTGGAAAATGTAGGCAACTCTCTGAAAGGAAAAGGGGGGTGGGATTTTAAATTTAAGTGCTTGGAAGGCCATATCAGCTTTTTGTTAGACAGTGAGAAAACCATATCTGAGAACTGTAAGGGCTGTTAGCAACTAACTTTTTATAGGGATTTGAAAAAATTGGTTGTTTTGGAATCCCCTGCCTAAAAGAAATCACCTTCCACAAATTAAGAAATCTCTTTTTCTCAGTGGTGTCAAGATGGATTTAAACTTAAAAACCCAACAGCGCTCCCTTACAAAGACTTAAGCCAATAGGTATTGTAGTTAAAGAGGTATTGTCAGGCTTATCTGCTACCAAACCAAGAGGATGATCTTTCAAAGTACATGCATAAGGTATGAAAATTAATTTCCACAGCAAAATTTTGCAACAAACAATAAATTTGATTAGTGAATAAGGCTCTTGTACACCGTTGAACTGTTCAGAAACGCATATTCCCAAGATACACTTTGAAAAAGGGATCCTAGTGTGCATACTTCATTTCAGTACCTTTTTCTTTCAGTTGTTATATGACAGAATTTGTAGCTTTCTGATGTATTTCAATGTTTTTATTCACGTTGTGTATGACACCACATCCTTTATAGCATACAAGACTAAGCATTGACTATGTGTTTTTGTTTCCTTTTGACTCTTGTTTATAATTCTGTTAACAGAAAAGTACCATTTTGTGTCACTTTTTTATCTTCTAGATCCATTTCCTGCTTTCAAATCTTGGCAGGAGGACAGTGAGTCTGGAGAAGCTCAGCTTTCCCCACAGGCTGGAAGGATGACTAATCATCCGCTGGAAGAGGACTGTCATCCGATATTGTCGCATCGTAGTTTGGATTTTGGGCAAAGCCAACGTTTCTTACATGATCCAGAAACGTTAGATTCTTCATCCAAAGCACTTTCTTTTGTTAGGTATGTATTTTAATGCAATGTGTTGAGTGGCAGGGTAGGAGATGTTACTGCCAGTATGAAAATACAGCTGTTTAAGAACCTCATGGGTTTTAATGATATGAGTTAATTGAAGACCAAGGTCAAATATAGCATTATATGGCCATTTGGCTCTTCTGCCTGCCTGGGAACTGCCATAGTGAGCCAGACCAGAGGTTCATCTGAGTTCATGTCTCTCAGTGGCCACTGGCAGATGCTGTGAAAGAGTATAAAAATAGGGCAAGCTTGCACAGATTTCCCTGGCATTTCGTCAGGGCTTATGACAGTCTGCTGTAATGGTGCTTCCTGGGCTGAAGATACTATTCGTATCCTTTGTTTACCAGTCTTTAGTGGACTGCTGGTCTATGATTTTATGTAAGTTTTTGTCCTTTTTTTCAGTAGCATGAATATCTATTTTCATGTTGCATAATTTTGGATTTGTTTTGTATGTCATGTAAAGAGAGACAGATTCTACAAACCATTGCAACTAAAGGGTGCAGTAATGGTCTGGGCAGGTTCTTCACTTGGGCTGGGGAAAGCCTTCGTTCAGAAGAGTTATAGCTGTCAGAGGGAGAGGCGTGGGGTAGCAGTACAGGGGAGAAGTAGGGTTCTTAGTGCAGGTCCTCTGCTGCAGATTTAGAGGTTCAAGCCTGTTTAACCCAGCGTATGAAAGCAGAGTTGTAACTAAACAAGCTGTGATTTATTTGTGTGGCACTGAGGAGTGCGACCCTCCAAAACAGTAAATGACCTGGGACCTGTGCTGTCTATCTGTAACCTGTGCTGAGTATCCAGTAACTTAGATAAGTAGTTTAGCCACCAGAAAGTTCTGAACTGCTTTAATGACAATGTAATTAACAGTACATTAGTTTGTTACACTTGAATTTCAAATGCTGTTTTTCACCAAAGAGCTATTTCTGTTCGGGGTATTACTGAAATTAGAGAGAAAAAAATAACACGTCCCATTTTGAAGGCAGCAGATCTCAAAGCATTTTGATTCAGTAAGTAAATAGCTGTGACTGAAAACATGAAAAGAATGAATTATGAACTGGAGAAAAAAAATTGAAATTAGTGATCTGTTACTCAAATATACAAGTTGTTTGTACTCATTTCATTATTTAAATGACGTTTTAAAAATGTTTTTGATGCAGAACACGAAGAGCATCCTTTAGCTCAAAAGATGACAAAAGGGAAGACAAGACACCTTATCAGCTTGTCAAGAAATTACAGAAAAAAATAAAGCAATTTGAGGAACAATTTGAAAAAGAGAAGAACATTAAGGTACATTATCCCTTCTGCTTGTACTTGGGATAAATGACTGCACAGTAGAGCTAAGTTACTTCTTGTAGTTCATCACTCATGAACTAACTGTGGGATCACAGGTGATTAAAAATTGTTACACACTGCTGCCTACCAAAGTGAACTGAATGGCCACAGTCGTAGAAAATGTGCTTTAATGCCTGAGGTCAAAGAAGGGCAAACAGTGACCCTTATGCACTGAGGCTGATGGGACATAGATGAGACGTATGGAGAGAGAAAAGCCTCTTACCACTCTCTAGCTCAACTGCTGATGTCTTGTTTCAAATTTGTTTTCACAAGTGTTGTCCGTTACGTTGGCGCAGAGATCTGATCTGGTACGAAGAGTGGCATCCAGGTTACTAGTCACATTCGCTGTCATAAATATTACCAAATCTTGAAATAAACATTTATATACAAGCTTTAGTGTGTGTGTTTTCATAAAACGTAGTTTGTTTGTGTTACTTTTCAGCCCTCCTATAGTGATATTGCAGCCAATCCAAAAGTTTTGAAGTGGATGACTGAACTTACCAAATTGAGAAAGCAAATAAAAGGTAAGGGATGCTACAGTTTCTGGCTTTCTACAAATGCAAATGAGCTACATGACTAAAACGGCTAAGTCATTCAGTCAAATTCCACAGGACAGTAAAAATATTTCATTTCTAGATTCTGAACTATTCAAAAATTAAAATCAAATTATTCTTGTGGCTTTGTTTTTAGCTCATTAGAAGAGAAACTTTCACTATGCGAACTGTTATGTCCCTTTATTTGCAGTTGAACTGAGAGTTACGTCTTTTAAACCTTTGGATTGAGTAATTTTTCTTATTTCAGATGCAAAGCAGAGGAGCTCAGATGGAGAATTCATACCTCAAACACGTCCACGAAGTAACACACTTCCAAAAAGCTTTGGTTCCTCTCTTGACCAAGAGGATGAAGAAAATGGAGATGAGATGCGGGTTGTGCAGAAAGAGAAGAAGCCCACCAAGGAAGCTACACTTGAACTCATTTTGAAAAGATTAAAGGAAAAACGAGTTGAGAGATGTTTGCCAGAAGATATAAAAGTAAGCATGAAGTTATGGATAGGCTGTTTCAAAGAGAATAACAGAGGGAAGTAGAGCGCTGCCAGATACTTCAGATAATCACTGTATTGACAAAGCGATGCCCCTGTCTAGCAGCCCTTTACCAAGCCCTCGTATTTCACTCTCTGGGGAAGTGATTGAGATGAACCACACTTTCCTTGCTCACTCTTTATTGAAATATTTACAAGTATGTGCTGACAATATTGGACAGCTTTAAATAGCTGAAGGTAGGATGTGTGGTATTAACCAAGTAAGTTTGGCTAAGGCATCTGTATAGCTGATAATGTAGAAAAATTCTTGACGTGAATTGTGCTTGAGTAAACGTGAATTAATCTTCTGACAGAAAATGACAAAGGACCATTTGGTAGAAGAGAAAACATCTCTCCAGAAAAGCCTCCTGTATTATGAAAGTCAACACGGCCGGCCGGTAATACTCGGTTTACTTCATCAAACTATATTAACGTAGCGTAGACAACAGTAACTCTTATGCAGTAGTAATACCAGAACTTAATGCTGGTGTGAGGATTTTTTTTTTTCTTCTCCAAAACACAAAAGCTATCTATTGGTTTCCATGTTGCCGTCAGAGGAAGTTATTATGTTGACTTCTAAAAAAAAAAAAATTATGTATTAATAGGCCCTTTTTCCACAGAGCAGTAGATTATTGGAGTTTGCAAAGTGATTGGTGTTGTTTGGTGCCTTATTTGTCTGTGAAACAAAGAGAAATCTGAAAAATAAATGATGCTATTGAATTTCTTGGGAAGAGACCTGAAATGTTGTTCTGGATTTCACAAAAATAGAAATGAAAAGACACTTTTTTCTGTTTTGCAAGTATGTGGCATGTATCTTATATAATTGGAGATATGGAAGTTAGAGTAAGCGACTAGCAATTAGTGCCTAAAATTCTGGGTTTTTATCTTGGACAGTGATCAGCATCACTAGTCCAGTCACAAGATCTTTCCAGTTACTAGTCTATCAGCCTTCTGGACTTGGCACACTAGCTTTATAATCAGCACTGCAGTATAAATCTCATCAAACCTCTCGGCCTAAAATCCAAGGAAGAATAATGATCTTGGAGATACTGGCACTGATTCTACAGTCCCCTTAGGGAGAAAATGCCAGTAACTGTTCGGGGTAGCCTTTAGATTCATTATGTTAGTGTACACAGTGACCCAGAATTGAGAGTAAATCACGTATCAGATAAAATCTCTCTATAGTTTCATTTTTTTTCTTCTTTCCCCTGTCGTTTCTGTAGAATCATCATCATTGCTAGGCACACAATCTTCTCCTCCAGTTCTTGGTCCCTTTTTTTTCTTCTTTTCCATAGGTCTTTAAAGGGTTTGCTTCTACTGAAGCACTCCTAACTTATAGGAAGTCTTCAAAACTCCTTCCTGAAAAATGGAGGGAGTTAAAATGAGAAAAGAGAGGAGGAAAAAGCACCCACTTACTCTCCTTTGTCTGCATAAATGCCATTTCATACACACAATTCAAACTAATTTTGAGTTCCTAATTGGAATGTATGTGGCCTGGCACGAGAAGCATACCGCTTTGTGTTTGCTTATATATTATTGAGTGACTGGTATAATTAATTCTGTGGTTTCTCTGCCTTTAGGTTACTAGAGAAGAAAGACATATTGTGAAGCCACTTTATGACAGATACAGACTTGTAAAACAAATGTTAACTAGAGCAAGCATTACTCCTATTCTTGTGAGTAAAACAAACGCTGTTTCTATTCTTTTCCACTTCTGAATTGCTAGGCTGCCTTTAGAAGAGCTAGTAGTACTGTTCCATAAAATACACCTTTCTTGTGCAAGTTACAAGATGTTGTTGTCATCGTACTTGAGGCGTTTGATTTACTGCTGAGAGCAAAGCAGTTCAAAGCTGTCTGTGTCCTTGATGGCTTTTAGGAGGTAAATGGTTCTCGATGGAAGTAAATAAGCTGTTCCGACTTGCCTTGGCTCAGATGTTCCCAAGTCACTGCGCTAGGCAGGGATCTGCGGTACAGATTGTACTCCAGTCCTCCCAAGAATAGTAACACCAGTTGCAGTGAAGCTTGCCTCCCTTCTGCACTGCAGGTTACTGTCACCAGAGGCATGAGTGATAGGATGTCCGTAAGAACCATTTCATTCCTTCATGCTTCCCCAGTGTGAGACATGTTATCAATGTCTGCACCATCTGTACAACATCTGTGCTTTTTCATTGTGTTTTCACTTCATTTCCTTCTGACTTACAGAGCTTTCTATTCTTTTCTTTCCTCTCTCTGTGGTCTTGTAAGAGATGAGGAAGAAAAGTTTTCATACTGTGCAAGGAGATTGATGTAGCGTTGTTTATGGTACCTGTAAAACGGGGAGGATGACAGCCAGCTGGCTTTGTTCTTCATGAGCTATAATCAAAACCTTGCATGCTGACCCAGACTTGCAAGAAAACAGTTCTGATATTGGCTGTTTGACTCTCGTAGAAGGGAGGGACTGCATAGCTGACGTGAGATAATCTCTTTACATACAGAGAGTTCTCTGCC